TTTAAAGAAGAAAAAGCTTGACTACCTTTGGTTACATGGAAAACCTGAGAGAATTCATAAAAATGCTACTAGAACTAATAAATGAGTTCAGTCAGGGTGGAAGGCACAGAGTCAGCATACAAAAATCAACTGTATTTCTATCATCAGAAACTAAAATTTAAAATATATTATTTTAAAACAAATAAGTAAAAATATACTATTTACAACGACATTGAAAAATAAGAAATACAGGTAAACATAAAAGATGGAAAGACCCAGACACTAAAAACTCTTAAAATATTACTGAGAAAATCAAGGAAGACCTATATAAATGGAGAAATAAACTTTGTTCAGGGTTAAAAATTCCATATTGTTAAGAAGTCAATTCTCCCAAAATTAATCTACAGATTCAACATAATCTACATCTAATTTCCAGGACACTAGCAGACTTTTTTTTTTTTAAAAACATTGACAAGATGATTCTAAAATACATGTGGAAAGAAGGGTAATAATAGGAAACTAGATGAAGCCAGAGGACTGTGGCCTTTAACCATGGAGCTACAAGAAGCAGGAGCTGGATTTTAGGCAAGGAGGTAACAAAGACCTGAATTTTAAAAACTATCTAGTAATCCTGGTTGCGGCGTAGACCAAGGTTCCAGGAGGTGGAACGGCGGAGAAGAAAGTCCTGAGGTGATTTCACTATTCTAGGAGGGAAGTAGTGATAACCTGACCTTGAGCGAAGGCGTAGGAGCAGCAGAGTCAACAGAAAGCACAGGGAGTGGGAACGGTCACAGCCCCTGGCTGGCAGCACACAACACGTCTGATTCTGCTTAACACAAAGCATATTTCTGAGATGCAGTGGATTGTAGCACATTCGTGCTCTCTGGGGCAGTACTAGGTGTGCACACGTTACCACGAGATACTTAAAAAGGCTTTGTAGTCATACGGGGTCCTACCTTCACTCTCCAGGCCAAGTTGTTCGATTAGCCTCAGGGTATCCTTACAGTTAGGGTAAAGCGACTCACAATCCTCGGAAGCTGTTTCCGGTGGCAGAGTTAAGTCATCGAGGCCATCCACAGAATTAATCTGCTCTTTGACCTACAGATAAATAATGCTATTTCGCAGTGTCTCCCACATAGTTAGAAAATATGCTCAGTGTACAGAGGTGATAAATATCCATTTTTATGAGAGCAAAAACACAGACACTTCTCAAAAGAACTGATTTTTGTCAAAAGGCTAACTTTATCAATAGTGTTTCTCAATTATTTTTAAGTAAGTCTCTACAACAAAGGAGGATTTTCTGTTTTTCCACTCTATTTTTATAAATTTTTTTTACTACAGGAAAATATTTTTATAACTAATATTTTACTATACCTTGTCCTTTTTAGTAGACGTTTTCTTTGAAGACCTAAAAAAAGAAAAAAGCAATTCATTTAAGCCAAATACTAAATATTGAAAATACAAGAAATATGTAAATCTATTATCTTTTTATAAAATCTTTGCACTGATAATTAATTTTCAATAAAAGGGATTAAACAAAAAATGGAAACAGTAATATTAAAGGACAAAGAAAGCATATCAGTTATATTAACAAAGTATTAAATTTAAATCAAGCGGACAAGCAAAGGAAAAGGAAAGACATAACATTACTTGTATTATTTGATAGGAAAAAATATACCAGGATTTTCTTGTTGTCTTTTTCAATAAAAACTGGCTTTTATGGAAATAAAACCTATTTGGAAAGTATTACTTAAGTCCTTATATGAAAGAAACCCTTTTCTAATAACCATGATATTAGCTTTTTTGAGGACTTAGTATGCAACCGCTATGCATTATTATCAGCACTTTACATGTCTTAAAGACATTTTAATCCTCACAACCTTGGAGGTAGGTAATACATTAGGTACTTTACCCAGGAAGAAAATGAGGCACAGAAAGGCTAAGTCACTTGTCGAAGCCCCTATGTCTGCCCAGAATTCCAACCCAGGCAATCTGGCTTCAATACCTACATTTCACAATATGCTAAGAAAGTAATGTTTATTTTTAAGTATTTTAAACTAACGTAGTAAATGAATCTCTATTACTACTCTATGTCTAGGTACAATTATAAATAATAATTTCTGAGGCATATGTCCAGAAGGAAATCTACTTCAGGATGACACCTGCACCCCAATGTTCACAGCAGCACTATTTACAATAGCCAAGACATGGAAACAGCCTAAATGTCCATCAACAGATGACTGGATAAAGAAGAGGTGGTATATTTATACAATGGAATACTATTCAGCCATAAAAATGACAACATAACGCCATTCGCAGCAACATGGATGCTCCTGGAGAATGTCATTCTAAGTGAAGTAAGCCAGAAAGAGAAAGAAAAAAACCATATGAGATCACCCATATGTGGAATCTAAAAACAAAAACAAAACATAAATACAAAACAGAAACAGACTTATAGACATAGAATACAAACTTGTGGTTGCCAAGGGGGCGGAGGGTGGGAGGGGACAGACTGGGATTTCAAAATGTAGAATAGATAAACTAGATTATACTGTATAGCAAAGGGAAATATATATAAGATCTTATGGTAGCTTACAGCAAAAAAAAATGTGACAATGAATATATGTATGTTCACGTATAACTGAAAAATTGTGCTGTACACTGGAATTTGACACAATATTGCAAAACGACTATGACTCAAAAAATGTTAAAATAATAATTTCTGAATTTTAACACCTATGTTTTAAAAAGACTTTAGACCTAGGCAATACTGGAAATCTACTTTTAATAAAGATTTGCTTTTGCTAAAGACATTAAACAGCAGGCATTCATTATCCATTCAGCTGTTTGTTCATGCATTTGACATGTCCTTATGGAGCATGATGGCTTTTTAATTTAGAACTCAGTAATCCAAAAGTAATCATCTGTGATAGATTGTTAATAGTTTATTATTCTACTGTATATAAAAATCTTCCTCTTCTTCCTAGAATCTAAACAAATATTAAGTTAATATAACCTGATATTTTACAATAGTATACAAAACCATAGCCACTCATGATGATACTGTCAAGGACACTATAAAATCTAGAATCATCAAGGAATGATTAAACTCTATTCAGTATGGCCTAAGTGTTTGTATAGTTATTATGAGTATATAATTTTTAAAAATCTATGGACAATGGTGTAACTTTAAAGTCATTATCTGCATATTCAATTGTGTAAGAATATTACGCTTCAGAACTAATGAATAAGACCTTACAACAAAACCATACAAGAATAATTTACTACAATATTTTAAAGGTAACATAGTACAATCAATACACTTTCTAGTATCAGAAATGCAAACAAGATTAAATTGAAAAACACGTCTTCTATGGAACCACATCCAACAGCATAGAGACATCCTCTACAAACTGTCTCATCATTAAAAAAAAGAAAGGGAACCCCCAAGAGCCCCACGTTCCCCTTCAGTTATCACCCAGTCCTCTCCTGCCTTCCCAGGGAATGTCCTCTAAGGGGCTGTTTACACTGACTCACTACAGCCCGGCTTCCATGGGGACGTATTATTGAAACTACTTCCAGTCAAAGGCACTTGTTCTCATTTTAACCTTTCGCCAGTGTTCCTCTGATACAGCTGAGAATTCTCTTGCCTTGGCCTTTGCACTATATGCTGCTATTCTATTTCCAGAGAAGGTAATCACTGCTAATACGTCTTCACCTAGAAATAAAGAATTTGTAGATTTTACCTGCCACCACTTTGATCTCCTTCACTTAAACTGCTGCTGTCATTCAGGTATAGGAGACCACCAGCCAGTGAGGCAGTCTTCGCAAATACACGTGAAGTCACAGATGCTTTTAATGTCCGTTTTCCACTTTCATTCTTCTTTACTTCCTTCATATCCAAGCCAGGACAGCTACTTTAAAACAATCCATGAAAAAGCCAATTTTTAAAAAATAATTCTACTGATAAATTAAAAAAAAAACAATTTTTGTAAAATTCCAACTCTTACCCATCTTCAATCATTTATTAATTCACAAAATGGTTATCAAGTGCCAACTATATGCAAGGAAACACAAATTCTTGCTTCAAAGACAGATACACAATTATGATACAATGTGATACGCAAGAGCTGACATATGGAAAGTAAAGTAAGCATAAGGAAGGCTTCACAAAAGAGGGGAAACAAACAGGAGGTCATAAGCAAAGGAGACAGGAGGAAATTATTCTACTTAAGAGATTAGAATGTGAGCACAAAGATTATGCATATGGCATTTAGGTGTGTCCTAGGAACCTGGAAGGAAGGGTACAAAATATATGGAAGCAAGTAGAGAGATGAGTCTGCGAAGAAATTCTGAACAATATCTAGAAAATAATAATTACCTACTGCTGAATACTAATCCAGGCTTACCTATCAGAATCTCCTTTCTGCAGAGCAGGAAACTGCTGGTCATCAGTTTTTCCCCTCTTCCTCTGCTGAGTTAAATCTTTATGACAACTGCCATCACACATGGTTTCTGATCCTTTCAGTTCACCACTTTTGTTCCTGTTTTCTTCTTCAACCTTTAGTGAAAGTTTGATACAAAAGGTAATTATTATTTTATTCATTATAAACACTGTTTTCATTCATTTTATCATTTGACTCAGAGTTTGCCCTAATTTCAATGATTAAAATATTTTTGTGCTTATTTTAATTTTATCATTTCAAGTCATTGAAATGTTTGTCAATTCTGCTTCTTCCTCTTTGAGGAAAAGAAACAGAATTTCCAAAATTTCAAAAAGGACTTTCCGAGTGTTGTGCTCTTACATTCACTCTTCCCTAGGTGAATGGCAGAGACAAAGAAATAAAAAGACAAAGGCATAAAATTTGTCCTCTCCTGTCTTTACCACCTAGATTTTGTGTTAAACAGCCAGATTTAGAAGATGTCACACCTTGGTGCTTCAGTAACAGAAAGGAAACACTCTTCTTTCTGTGCTAAAGCTATCCTTTCCCCACTGCTTTTTATACCCCACTGCTTTTTATAATTCTTATTTCATTTGGATCCTGGGGTATCAAAAAAGTGATGTTTAATAAAATATATAAACCCAAGTTTACCGAAAGGAGCAGAGTCAAACTGATGAACTGCCAGTTAGTGTGAATTCTGCAAAAGGAATAATGCTTCCCAATTTCACATTCAATAACCATGACCATTTTATAGCTAGATGGCATAGGAGTAATGAGTGATCTACTTTAGCCCCACTGTTTACTGATAATGGGAATACAACCAAGAAAGGTTAAGTGATTTGTCCAAATTCCCTAAAGCAGTATTCCCCAGCATTTTACGGTGTCAAAAAAGATGACACAATTCTGTAACACTGAATCTAATGAGCTACCAAATAAATTAATCAAATTGATCAGGTAAGTTAAAAGTGTGACTTTGGCAAAGTTGGGGGCAGGGCTCATCTCCTTTAACACCTTCAGATTTCTATCTTTAACACTCTTTGCCCCTCACACAAAAGAACACACACATTTTAAAAATCTATTACTAGAACTAATAAAATCATTCAGTGCATCTCAAAACTCAAGTTTTCTCCTTTGGAGATAAATAATGAGTTTTTTTTGCTGAGGGTTCATACTACCTATATGATAAAAATCATAAATGTCAAAACTTACTACATTTTATTAAATAATATAATGTAGGTGACTGACTCAACAGAAACACCCGAAAGTGGTGATTCAAGAATATGTGGGAGCACATGTATTTGTTCTTAAGAATAGCTCAAAGTGGCCATGATGGAATTCTAAGTGTTCAGTGATCAGTAAAACAGGTAAGTCCGCACTCACTAAAGCACAATAAATGGATCAGTTTAGTGAGAGTGTGTGCTTATATCCCTTCTCCCAGTCACTGCTTCCTTCCCATTCTATGGAAGTGCAACTTACATTTAAGCCAAAAGATTAAAACAAAAAAAACCCCTTGAGCTTACTATATTTCCTAAGACATTTCAGTTGCGTTTATTCCGGCTCAGAAGGTCACGCGGCACACAGCTGAATGACTTTCCCACTTCATATGAACGACTGGCACAGAGACTTAGGTTGATTAAGGAACAAAACCCAGGAAAATACTTCCCTGAGTTCCTGTTACTTAGATGGCAGAAATAGTCTGTTTCTACACGATTACATATTTAGATGACCCTGTTTTATACATAGGCTATTTTCACAAGTGGAAGATCAGATCAAATATGGATCAGAATGGAAGAGATTATTGATAAAGAGAAAAAACAGAGTAGCAGCAAAGGAACCTCTACCTCTTTTTGAAGCTGCATCCACTGAGTTATATTATACTCTAACATTCACTAGTGAGAGTGAATAAAAGAATTTTTAATAATACTTACTGATTTCCTACCCTGAAATGAAATAACTTAGAAAGTTTTTGTTTGTTCCCTAACAGCAAAGATCCAATCCTGGAAGGTTTGATTCTCTTACTAGGCAGTTGGGTTGACTCTTTGACCCCTATTCTCTCCCTGATTGTAGATTCTGAAATCGACTACATAGAGATCACAAGACAGAAGAAATCTTTCATCTTGGCATTAATGACTTGCAATTTGAATCTGCAAATTTTGGACCACTGGGAATGACTGTTCCTTACATGAAACTAACTCGGTGGCCACCATTGCTATATTGTTTACAATTTCAACTGCTTAATCACATGATTTAATATTTGATGTCACCTTCTTTATCATGTGAGGAAGCTATAAAAATGGAAGAAGTAAACAATATTCAGGAAGGTTTTTTGCCTCAATTCCAAGGACAGAGTTTAACTATAAATTATTACAGATCCTAACAATACTTTAAGCTTTGTAACTAGATAAAATGCTATTAAAAACTAAATATTAAGTAATTATTTATTGACTCTAAAAGACTAGTTTGAAAGGCAATTTCTTTTGAACTGTTTTAATATCAAAGCACAGAAAACAGTATTAAACCGGAAACTTAAATTTACATTTTTACCTACCTGTGAGTGGTTATTTTCACTTCCATCAAGTCTTTCTTGCTTTTCCTCAGATGTCCTTTCTAAGTCTAGGTCTGCTGAAAAATGAATATGCTTAGTTAAAATTTACTACTTAGAACAACTAGATAAAAGGCATCATTTTTATAAAACCATAAAAAACATTTCATCAACTGACAGTTTAAATTAAGCTTAATCTTTAGCTGGATATTTACTTCTTTAAGAAATACTTCTAATTATCTAAAACTTCAACAAACTATTTGGGAAATACTAGATGTTACCAGATTAAAGACATACAAACATCTCAAAGTTTCATTCACAAATTGATTCACCAGACATGAACAAAACAAAGAGAAATAAAATAAAATTTAAAAACACAGTAGAAATATACAAAGTCACAATAGACTCTATTATCTACCTCCTAATAGTACCTTTTTAACAACATACCAAGCTTCAAGAGCAATGTTATTCATGGTTTCCAAAACTACTGTTACATTTTATGCTTTTCTTTCCTTAATCTGAAATGTTTCCCTCTATTATTCTGACAAGTTCCTTTTCCTCTTTGAAGACTCAGCTGGTCTGTGAAGTCCTCCTTGACTGCAGCTGTCTTTCCACGCAGACACAGGGATCTCTTTCCTTGGAGCTACCTTGGTACTTCACAGACTTTTCTAGTGTATCTTCACCAGCTGAACTGTAAACTATTTCTTTACATGTCTATCCTCTTTGCTCCTCTGCTGCAGAGGACAAACTCTTAAAAGTATCTTTGTATAAACTATTTATTAGAAAAACTTTAAGTTTAGAGCTTGTAGTCACTACTATAGGAGATAACTGAGAATCTTTTGTAAATACGACATGAATTCTACAGGTAAGGAAAGAAAAGATAAAACTATAGGAGCAGAAAAAATATTGTATGATTTATTACTACAGCTCTCATTACATCACTGATTAAGGCATTAAATTAATTGGTATATAAAGTAGAACACATATTAGATGTGGTTAATCAACAGACTGGGTATCCTAGCAGAATTAGAATTGATATTCCATGTATTATTTTTAAGTGATAAAGCACCCCTTAAAAACCAATATCCTTTTCAACCTATCAATCCATTAAAAATAATAAAACAAGCTGATATACTATGTGGACACAGTTAAGAAGGAGGTCCTGTGTAGCAAATTCCCAATGACTGCCACTACCACTGGGAAAGCCACTCTAAAATATAGAAAGGCATAGAATATACTAGAAATATTTTGATATTTAGTTGCACAGGTGCTTTTTCAGCTACACTGAATATAGCTGTAACTACTATTTGTAAATTCAGAGCTAGATAAAAATAAAGCTAAGAATCAGTATTTTCAGAAGGGAATCTTTGGATGTCCACCTAGGTTTCCCAACTAGTCACAAAGCTCTAGACATCATCCTCCTACTCGCTATCAGGAGTGTGCTAAATACTAGTCTGAACAAACTTACTTTCTCCTAATTCTCTTTTGCTATTTAATATGCTGCTTTGGTCAGAGGATGAATGTAAATGTCATGCTAAAAGGTCTTGTCTGGTTGTAGGTTGCATAAAAGGAGTAAACACAAAGGAGATCATGCCACAAAATGACTTCTGCAAAGTCAGAATATGGTGAAGCCACGCACAGGTAGACTATGGCTAATTCTCTACGCTGTTTTATTAATTACCTTCTTTGCTGCTTCTGTTCTCTGGCAGCTGTGATTCACACAGGCCATGGCGCGCTGCATTTTCTGACAGAGACATGGCTCCAATATTCATCCGGTCTTTACCTACTAGGGCCGTCTGCCTCAGTTCTGTGGGTGCTGACTGGTTTGTGGTCACTGATTGTGATACCAACGGACATTTATCAAGTTTCAAATGCTCGGCTCTTTGACCAGCCTCATTACTGAGGCTCAAACTAGTAGAATCCCAGTCTGAAGAATCTGAAAACAAAGTTTCCACTTATTAGAATGTGAATAACGATACAAACTTGACTAACTTGTACAAATTCTCTTTCCAGAGCAGCAGCCCCACATCCGCAGCCCCGTTTATTAATTACCTTCTTTGCTGCTTCTGTTCTCTGGCAGCTGTGATTCACACAGGCCACGGCGCGCTGCATTTTCTGACAGAGACATGGCTCCAATATTCATCCGGTCTTTACCTACTAGGGCCGTCTGTCTCAGTTCTGTGGGTGCTGACTGGTTTGTGGTCACTGATTGTGATACCAACGGACATTTATCAAGTTTCAAATGCTCGGCTCTTTGACCAGCCTCATTACTGAGGCTCAAACTAGTAGAATCCCAGTCTGAAGAATCTGAAAACAAAGTTTCCACTTATTAGAATGTGAATAACGATACAAACTTGACTAACTTGTACAAATTCTCTTTCCAGAGCAGCAGCCCCACATCCGCAGCCCCACGTCCTCCTCTCCCCCCAAACACACTGCTCCTTCCCAGCTGGTTGTACTTTACATGTCACTGCTGTTCATATAGGGAACCACTGTCTCTCTTTTTTCTACTTTTAATTTTCTAGTATTACTCACTTGGATTCACTCATCACTCTCTATAAAACAGTCTATATTCTGTAAGAGCTTTATGAATTATTATGACTCTTCGACATGAATTTTTTCAATAACAAAATCTATGTCTAACCAGCCATTCACTGGACATTTAAATATGTATGACAGTATTGTGTCCTAGAGACATGGGCTTTAAGAAAACTTTTACTGAATGGTACAATTTAAATTACAATGAGACAGTCTTTCCTCAATGTACCAATATCTTCAGAATTCTTACCTTAAGCCTTGGATAAACATCATAAACTTATATAAGAAAGGACAGCCTTGAGTGACTAATTTTTTCCATATAAAAATAGGATAAGTCTAGGTACAAACTAAATCCAAAGAGTACAGAGTGCCACGAGACAGGAAATATATAACAAAAATGTTTTCCTTTCTTTTTGAAAGAATTAAGTTGTCAGATTTAAACTTTTTAAGACAAGTTAAAGAAAAAAAGGCAAGTAATGTAGAAGTGAACTTTAAAACCCACTTCATCACAAGGGCCCCTTTATCGTTTCACATCCATGAATCCTGTTTAAAACAGCAGTTCTCAAGTGTCATCTGAGAAGCCCTGAAGTCCCAAGTTCCCTCCATCTAGGGAGTCCAGGAGGTCAAAACTATTTTCACAATAATACTGAACGCTATTTTCATTCTCATTCTCCGTTAAGTGTGCAGTGGAGGTTTCCAGATACGTGACATGTGATAACATCATAGCTCTAATGGCTAATGGAATGTTTGTGTGTGCTTGTTTTTTAAATCTTTCAGTTTTATTTTCTAATATACTAAACATCAATAGATACAACCCACTTAAAAGTTCTTCAGAATTCTCAGTAATTTTTAGTAGTATAAAAAAATCCTAAACCCAAAAACTTTTAGGGCTATTGTTTTAAAAGATCCTGTCTACCAAATATTAAGGTAGGACTAATTACTTCCATCATTTTTAATAATCAAAGACACCACACACACACACACACACACACATACACACACACACTGCTAATCAAACACACACACACACACACACACACAGCTAATCAAAACATCCAGTTGGCTTAAGATCTTTGGGGGAAATAGCTCAGTGGTAGAGCACATGCTTAGCATGCACAAGGTTCTGGGTCCAATCCCTAGGGACCTCCACTAATAAATAAATATAGAAATAAATAAATATCATCAATGTGATAGCAAGCACTCGATGAAATAATTAAAGTGAAATATGACTGACATGTTAGCAAGGGAAGCTTTACCCTACGTAAAGGTCAGAATTCAATTAAGCATTTTAAAACTCTGGAAAAATCTTAGAACCTAAGAATCAAACTCTCAGAATCCCTGAGAAGTACAGGGACTCCAAACTGAGCACTTTGG